GTTTACTTGTAGTTCATTGGGTGTGACAAATGTGGACATTTTTCACTTGATTAAACTTTATAGTTTATTGGGTTGCTTGATATTCCGGAATAATTTAATGGTTAGGAGGTGGTCTACTTCAAGTTACTTGGGGTCTAATTTACCGTTCTGGAGTTGTGTTAGTATAGTTCGGGGCGAAAGGCGCCGCCCACACCTTCAATTTACATGCGCAACAACTTTAAGTTGCTTTATTTTATTTGATTTATTTAACTCATTTATATTTAAGCTCAGTTTTTAGTTCATTATTATATTGACTATCTGGGATTCAAACTAGGATTCTACCGATGGCTCTTATTCAGAAGAAGAAGCTGCGATTGCTGTGACAAAAATTTCACTCGCGTGACGTTTAGAATTCCGTCGCGGATTCTTCACCGGCGACATGAGCAGAAAGCAATGGCAGAAACGGGACCCCTTTCTGCTTGTATAAAACGTGCGTTTTAAAATATGCATGGTCGTTCTAGCGGAGTTAGCGTGACTGACTTTTTTGCAAGCATAAATGAGAGGTTTAAAACCACGCATGAACTTGCCAGGAACCCAGGTCAGTTTCATAAAATATCTAATTTACTACAAACTTCTTATTGGAATTACCCTGTCTTATCCCACCGCAGGGCATTATGGGATTCACAAAAAGTGGATATCTCTGGTTGCTGTTGTTGTGCTTGCTACAATTACGATCACCAACGAGCATATGGGACTAAAACAGGTGCTACATAGAGGGCCCTAAAAGACAGCAGACCTAACAGACGAGCGGAAACGTTGGTGGTTATTACAATTACGCCATCAAAGTGAACAGTTCGCTGGCAGGAGTTTCCTTGGTAGCGCACATATGTTCTTATTTATATTTAAATGCCTACACAATTAATTTCTGTTAGGGTTAGGGTAAGTGTTAGGGTAAGGGTTAGGGTTGGTTTTAGGGTTAGGGTTAGGGTTATGGTTAGGGTAAGTGGTAGGGTTGGGGTTAGGTTTGGATAGGGATATCGCATGTAAAATGCCCCAAGTTTTTGTCTTACGGGAAGCGTTGGAGT